GATTGAACACAGGGGCATACTACCATTGAGCTATATCCCCAGCTCTTTTTATTTTATATATTAAGACGTAGTCTTTTTTTTTTTTTTAAGAGAGAGTGAGAGACAGAGAGAGAGAGAGAGAATTTTTTTTTAATATTTATTTTTTAGTTTTCGGCTGGCACAACATCTTTGTTTGTATGTGGTGCTGAGGATCGAACCCGGGCCGCACGCATGCCAGGCGAGCGCGCTACCGCTTGAGCCACATCCCCAGCCCCTAAGACGTAGTCTTACTAAGTTGCCTGGGCTAACCTTGGACTTGATCCTCCTGTTTCTGTTGTACTTTCATACTTGACATACTTGAATCCTACTAAATTGTTTTGTGACCCAGTATATGGTATATCTTGGTAAATGTTTCTCATGTACTTGCTGCTGTTAGGTGTTATGTTCTGTAAATGTCAGTTAAGTCAAGTTGGTTATTCTGTATCCTTACTGGTTTTCTGAGAACTCCACCTGATGCCCTGAGCCTTCTGAGGTTTTCTATTCTATTAGGAGAGAACAGGAATTATTGTCAAATCTGTGCAACATCTGTGGATCATTTTCTCTAATCCATTTGGGTGGTTCTATTCTTAGCCACAAATACTTTCTTCACATAACATGTACTGATCAGTACTCAGCTGAATACTTGAAGGTGTCCTCTGCAGGTTTCCCATGATATCTGTCTATCTCTGTCTCTCTCTCCCACCCTCCTCTTCATCACTCTGCAGTCTCAACTCCAGCCACTTTGGCCTTCCTGAATTCCTAGTTCTGCTTCATCAGTTCTGGGAGACCATCATCCTCTCTGCCTGGATTCCCTCTCCTATGTCTCAGCCTAGGAACTTTTTCTGGCAGTAGGTCATTACTTAATGTCCAGTGTCTTAAAAACTATATATATACATACACACACACACACACACATATACACACATATATATATTTATAAATACATATTTATTAAATATTTTTAGTTGTAAAAGGACACAATACATTTATTTATTTATTTATATGTGGTGCTAAGGATTGAATCCAGTGCCTCACACATGCTAAGGAAGCGCTTTACCACTGAGCTTCAACCCCAGCCCTCTTCCATATATTTTGAACAGTTTTTAGTTAGTTTAGTCCCTGATATTCCATCTTGCTTGGAAGCAGGAATCCATTTTCCTGATACTTTTTCATATATTTCATAACTTTTTGTGTCATATTTGGAATAATGTTCACTGTGATCACTTCTCTGTCCACATGGAGTTCAGAGGTTCTGTTGTTGATTTTCTATAAGCAGCTGCCTTCCCCTGTATTGGGTATTATCAGATTCTTTATCTAGATTCTCCCTACCTCATAGAAACAATAAAAGCTAATGGTTTATTAAGTGCCTCCTGTGCAGCAAGCATGCATTAAGGGTTTTAAATGTATTACCTCATTTAATCCTTATGGTACCATGTGAACCAGTCATTAACTTCATTAGAGATATGAGATAATTGAGATGGAGAAGTTAAGTAGTTTGCCCAGGGTTACACAGGAGGTGACATGGTCAGCTCTCACACTCAAGTCCAACAGACTCAGAGCCCACTGCTTCCTAGAGAGTACCGCAAAGCCCATGGTGCCCATCTGAGGTTATTTTGCTGAGTACAAGAAGACCGCTACTAAAACCAACTCAAAAAGATTCTTCTTATCTGTTCTGGCAATAACAGTAAGCATTTTACAACATCTAAGGAAGGAAAAATACTAGTACAGCTAGAAAAAAATCATTTTGTTTGAAGTTCTGTCAAGTGACCGGAAGAAAAAGAATTGAGTGCAGTTCTTTAGATAATAGAAGAAGAATGTAATTTTAGAAATGCTGAGTCAAGAGGGTAGAGGAGGGGGCTGGTGTGTAGCTCAGAGGTAGCATGTAGGAGACCCTGACTTCCATCTCCTCCACCATGGGGTGGGGGTGGGAAGGTGAGGGGTTGGAGCCAGAACTGTGGCTCAGTGGTAGAATACTTGCCTAGCATGTGTGAGGCACTGGGTTTGATCCCTGGCACCACATACAATAAACAAATAAAATAAAGGTATTGTGTCCATCTACAACTACAAAAATATTTAGAAAAAAATTTTTCTAAATATTTTTGTGAGGGTAGAAGAGGGGAAAAGGAAGAAATTATTCTGAGATGATATGATTTTGGAAGGTGCTGGAGCAGTGCAGAAGCTTGTGTTGCTGTCACTGCAGCCTTTCATTCCCTTCCATAAGAACCAAAAAATGAACTCAAAATAGAGCAGGGAAAGGAATGTTTAGTGTCAACCATTGTTGCCAAGTTAAAATGTTTTGAATTGATTCCAAGCGCCATAGCACAGTACAATATTAACATTTTATATATATTTTTTAGAAATTTGTTCTACCTTCATTTTTATAAATGTATGAGCATTTTTTAATTTTTTGTAATATCCACATTTTTTAAATGTTTATAACCTTTCTTAGAGTGTGAAGGGAATGTCTTATAGTAGTTGAAATATTTTTTTTAAGTTAGTATTATGRAAATTTCTAGAACATCATCCTTATTTTTTGTATGACACCATTCCCTGTTGGAAAAAACAATAGAATCTGAAGTCTGAGATTTGAGAAGTCAAGATCTAAACTTATTTTGCCACTGGCCTGAGGGATTACAAATGAATAACTATAAGATCAGGCACAAGATTACTTCACTGACCTGTGGAGAATTTTCAGTAATAATTATAAATGAAACTATGTCAGGACGTTTGAAGTGGTGGCAGGAAATGTGGCAGGAAAAATGTAGTTTATTCTTCTAGAATTCCCTGTGGGTCTCTAGAATTTTTTAGGTATTCTTAAAATTTAGGAATTCTTAGAATTTTTTTAAGAGGAGTCAGTTTAAAAGTATTAGTGATCCTCCTCCTCCCCCTCCTACCCTCCCCCTCCCCCCTCCTACCCTCCCCCTCCCCCTCCCTCTCTCCTCCTCCTCCGTTCTTCAGTTGTAGGTGGACACATTACCTTTATTTTATTTATTTATTTTATGTGGTGTTGAGGATTGAACCCAGTGCCTTGTATTGCCACTGAGCCACAACCCCAGTCCATCCCTCAGTTTTCTTTGTCTTGCACTCCCTTGACAACTATGCTTGTGTAAATATTATTTATATTTAATATAGCACAAATGGTGCTGTAGATAAATACATTTTGAACATCCAATACTACTTTAATTAATATGCCTTTTAGCTATGGTGGGTAATATACCTTGAAACTCAGATTAGAAAAATATATATTTTCCTGTGTAACACTGCACAGGGGACTTTTCCTTTTGTGTCAATATACCTGTTTATCATTTAGTTATACCTGTTTATTATTTAGCATATAGTTCTATGACATTAAGTAAACTTCACAGTGTTGTGGCACTGTCCTCAGTATCCATCTCATCTTGCAGAAATGACTTCCCATTACTCACCGCAGTTCCTGACAATCACCTTTCTACTTTTTGTCTCTATGATTTTGACTCCTTTAGATATCTCATATAAGTGGAATTATGGGGTTTATTTTTTTGTGACTGGCTTATTTCACTTAGCATACTGTCCTCTAAGTTCATTCTTGTGGTAACATTGTCGGAATTTCCTTCCTTTTTAAGATCTGAGTAATATTCCATTGTATGTATGTACCAATTTTATTTGTCTTTTCATCTGTTACTGGACACTTGGGTTGCTTCCACCTTTTGGCTGTTGTAAATACTACTACTGTGAACATTGGTTTACAATTTTCTATTCTAGTCCATGCTTTTAATTCTTTGGGGTTTCTACCCAGAAATGGAATTGTTGGATTATATGTAACTCTATGTTTAATTTATTAAGAAAACACCATACTACTGTTTTTCCACACCAGCTGTACTATATACAGTAACATTAACAGTGTACACAACGGTCCAGTTTTCCACATCCTCATCAACACTTAATGAAAATAGCTTTTTGAAAATAGCCATCCTAATGAGTATAAAATGGTATATCATGGTTTTTTGATTTGCACTTTCCCAATGATTAAAGATGTTGGGATCTTTTCATGTGCTTCTTGTCCATTTATATATCTTCTTTAGAGAAATATCCATTCAGGTTCTTTGCCCTTTTGTTGTTGTTGTTGTTGCAGGGTTGGGAGGATCCTGGGGATTTAACTTAGGGGCACTTGACCACTGAGCCACATCCCCAGCCTTGTATTTTATTTAGAGACAGGGTCTCACTGAGTTGCTTACCACCCTTGCTATTGATGAGGGTGGCTTTGAACCCACAATCCTTCTGCCTCAGCCTCCCAAGCCACTGGGATTTCAGGTGTGCACACTGCACCTGGCTGCCTATTTTTTAATTGGGTTGTTTTTTATTGTTGAGTTTTAAGTGTTCTTTATATATTCTGGATATTAATCCCACATCAGATATATAATTTGCAAATACTTTCTCTCATTCTGTGGGATCCTGTCATTTTATTGTCCATTGATGCATAACAATTTTTAATTTCAATGGTCCAATTTATTTTATTTTAGCTTTTTTTAAATTTTTTTTTTGGTACCAGTGATTGAACCCAGGGGTGCTTATCCACTGAGCCACATCCCCATCCTTTTTTATTTTTTTATTTTGAGACAGAGTCTCGCTAGAACCTCAGTAAGTTGCTGAGGCTGGCTTTGAATTCAGGATCCTCCTTCCTTAGCCTCCCAAACCACTGGGATTACAGGCATGCACCACCATGCAAAGCTATTTTATTCTTTTGTTGCCTGTTGTCAGTCAGTATTTAACAATAAAAAGGGAAAGATACTAATAAATATTTCTTCTCTATTTGAAACATATTTTACTTTTGATTGTAAACATGATCTCTATCCTCTTGTAACATGCATGCATGAACAGACAGTCCTGTATAATCGAATAAGTAAATTAACATTTTGAAACAGTTCAATTTTAGGTGCTTTTCCTGTTTCCAGACATTTTCTTGAAGCAAGCAAACTAGCTAATGGTTTTTAATTTTTTTCTAGCTAAATGCAGATAATGAAAGAGAAGAAGGAGAAGAGTTTGAAGACAATATGGATGTTTTTGATGACAGCAGTTCCAGTCCTTCTGGTACCTTAAGAAATTATCCACTCACCTGCAAAGTTGTTTATTCCTACAAGGTTTGTATTAAGATATTGCTGATATTAAATTGTGACAAACCTAAAGATACATGTGACTGTGTCTACCCAGCTTCTCACAGGACGCCTAGCATAATGTTAGTATTCAGTTAATATCTAAAGCAACGAAACATAATGATGAAGAGTTTAAGCTCTGATATTAGATTGCTTGAGTTAAATCCTGTCTCACTGCTTATGAACTACATGAGCTTACACTAGTCAGCCTCTTAATTTCTATGAGCCTCAGTTTCCTTATCTACATGATGGGGATAATATTGTAAAATAAATGTGAAGATTAAATGAGAGATTACCTTTATAGCAAAACACTTGGCCTAGTACCTAGTTCAGTAAATACAGTATATTCAGTAAATACAGCTCTTACCCTTACTCTCTATTGCCTGCTTGGCATAAACCCTCCATTAGAATGAACCTCAAAATTCATATCAAAAGAAAATTGTTTCACAAAGCAGTTTTTAATACTTTGCCTTTACTCATCCTAATATAATTCCCTCTTGTCMATATTGAGCAGGAAATCTGGATTAACAGATGCCAGAATTTCCAAACTTGGTTTGGTATAATAGTTCTTACTCTCTCTCATCCTTTCCTGCTTTTCCAATTACTTTATATTCAACACAAAGTAAATGGTGTTTCAATTTTCCAGTTCCTTTCTTTCCCTCACTCCCACATCCAGTCTGTCAGCCAGTCCTGTTGTGCCCACTTCCAAAACATATCCTGAATCTATCCACTTTTCACCATATTTACTGCTCTCATCTTTGTCTAGGCCGTTGCTTTCATTGTTATAAGATGGGGATGAGCCCTCAAAATTAGGCTTCTTTGACACTAGCTTCCCAACAATCCATTTTCCAGCTAGAATTATCTTTGACACATAAAGGAGTTAATTCCATTCCCTTTTCTAAAAATAAAAAAAAACACACACACACTTTTTAAGCTTTAAATGTTAATTCCATTCCTTTTCCTAAAAAACCCTTCCCAGCCCGAACTCTTCACTGGGATCTGTAATGTCTAGCCTGATCGAACTCCAGGCATTCTTCCCAGCTTTATGTCAGGCCATTCCTCCACTTCACACACTCAGTACATTGGCCACTCTGGCTGCCTTTCTGGCTTCAAAAGTACCAGGTTCCTTCCTGAGTACACATCTTTGCACTTGTTGTTCCCTCTGATTAGAACTGTGTCTCCCAATATCTCTGTTTACTGCCCTTATCTTCATTGTAGTTCAACTCAAATAACCTCCAAAGGTCACCTCAGCCACCTAAACACATAGCTCTTTACTACTCTATCCCATAACACTGTTTTGTTCATCATACTGATGTTCATCATCTGTCACTCAACTACGGAAATATGTTCTGAGAAATGCAGCATTTGGTGATTTTATCAAACATGAGCTTATACAAATCTAGATGGTATAGCCTAATAGACACCTAGCCTGTGTGGTAGAGATATATTATTTCTGTTCATCAGACCATGACAAACAAAACAACATGAGATTAAATCAAGCACAAGATAAACTCATGCAATCCAGAGATGCAATAAACATGACATGTACAAGGCTACTGTTAGCCAGCATAAATTGTTTTACAGTAAACTTTTTCTTTTAGTAAGTAGAGGATTACACACCAAAATAATGATTAAAAAGTATATTAAATATAAACTAATACCTAGTTGTTTATTATCATTATCAAATATTATATACTATACATAATATGGTGGATTTGTTTACACTAGTGATGCCACAGACATACGAATATATGTTATATTATGACATCATGATGGCTACAATGCTATTTTTTAATTTTTCAACTCCATTATAATTTTATGGGACCACCATATATGTGTGATCCAGTGTTGACCAAAATGTCATTATGTGGTACATGACTGTATAGCTCTTAGTGCCAGCCAGATTAAGTCTTACTTGTCTTCATATTTCTTTGCCTGCTTCCCCATTAAAGGCTTATGAAAGTATAAACTTTGTGTCTGTACCTTTTCTGTGTCATGAGCTCCTGGGACAATGCCTGGCACACAGTGGGTCTTGTGAAATTAATAAATGAATGATGTAAGGAAGGCATGAGCAAATGAATCCTTCTCTGGCCCCTATACTAATAGAGAAAGCAAGGGGAAAAGGTTAATGCTAAGGGATAACAACAGAGGGACTGTTCTGAGAGACTCTTTAACTGTCATACACTGGGCAGTCTCACTCCACTCCCCAGTCCTGTGTTGCCAAAAGCTGGCATTATATACTTTTCAATATCAGCTATTCCTGGGTTTTTTTGAGTTTAACATCATTTCATTATATTTAAATTCATAATACTTACTGTTTTCTTTAAAAAGTTAGGGTTTTTTCCTAGTGTACATTGTTTTGATAATGTTTTGAAAATTTGAAATCATCTTCTAAGAAATTTGGGGATATTTTAAAACTAGGGTTCAGAATGTTTTCTAATATCACCTCTCCTTGTTATATTTACTTGAAAGTTTCAAAACTAATTAAGGTCCTTACATGGAGAGAGTTCTAAGTGTCTAAATTGTTTTAAACAGCTAACATTCAGGCTGGGGTTGTGGCTCAGGGGCAGAACGCTCACCTAGCACGTGCAAGGCCTGGGTTCAATCCTCAGCACCACATAAAAATAAATAAATAAAATAAAGGTATTGTGTCCAACTACAATTAAAAAATAAATACTTAAAAAAAAACAGCTCACATTCATCCATTGATCTATCACAGTACCTCCATTGATCTATCCCAGATACGTCTCTGTGAAACCAGACTATCAGAATCTATTTAGGGCTGAGTGCAGTGGTGCATGCCTGTAATCCCAGCAATTCAGGAGACTGAGGCAGGAGGATCGTGAGTTCAAAGCCATCCTCAGTAATTAGCGAGGCCCTAAGCAACTCAGTGAGACCCTATCTCTAAACAAAATATAAAAAGGGGCTGGGGATGTGGCTCAGTAGTTAAACACCCCTGGGTTCAATCCTCAATACAAAAAAAAAAAAAAAACAATCTATTTAGTCAGTTAATCACTGAGCTAAAACTGAGTGCACAATATATGATAACCTTTGTGATGTAAGAATTAATATGACACTATCCCTGCCTTCCAGGAATAGACAGACTATGGAGTAGTTAAATAAATTTTACAGACAAGATGGCATTTAAATTAAATCATAATCTAGACTTTTCTAGGTAGAGAGAGAGGATAGGGAAAGGAAGGATCCTTCTAAGCAAAGGGAACAGCAGATATGGAAACTGGGATGAGAGGATAGGGTGTTGAGAACAGTTTACTTTTGGATGTGTAGGAGAACTGAGAGGTGGGGAATAACAGAAGATCTGAAGGCATTTGCTGTCAGATAATAAAGGGCCTTGTATACTAGGCTCAGGAGTTTGGTTTTTATTCTGGACTTTAAGGAGATAACTCTGGTCTTTGTGTAGACACTCAGGAGGATAAATTAGAATAGAGAGAGATCAGCTGGGCACAGTGGCCCAAGCCCAGAGTCCCAACTACTTGGAATGGCTGAAGCAGGAGGAAGATGGCTTGAAACCGAGGTGTTCAAGACCATCCTCATAGCAAAACTCCATTGCAATGAATGGAAAAAAGAGAAAGAGACTGACTTTGAGCCTAATCATGATTTCTGTGGCCTACACCAATAAAAAAGGACTAAATGAACCTGGTGAGAACACAGAAAAGCTATATTTAATATTCAGATTCAGAAGCTTTAAAAGTATTCATAACTTTTAATCTTATTAATATCCACCCTAAGGAAATGAGCCACAATATAGAAAATGTTTTAGATACAAAATATTCTTTCAGGGTTTGGGATATAGTTCAGTGGTAGAGTGCCTACCTAGCAATGTGTGAGGCCCTAGGTTTGATCCCCAGTACTGCAACAACACAAAAGTGTTCTTTCATTATCTTCTACTTTATAATAGCTCACAGTTTGCTATGGAGTTCTATAACAGACTGAAACATATTAGGACTTAAGGAGACATTGTGAGACCTTGCATATATTTAATAGCCATTGACTGACCACTTGGCTGCCTGTAGTTGGAATAAGTGAGAAATACAGTCCCCGCCTTAAGTCATTCTAATAGGGAACTCATAAGGACTAGCAGCGAGCTAGAGCACCATGGTAGTCAGTGTGAGATGGACTCATGGAGTCTTAATGAAAGGAAGAAGCAACTGGCTCATTACCAGTGGTCTGAGAAGGAGAGCTGGGCCACAAGTCATGAGAAGCTACTGCTTCTTTGTTCATTTCAATCTCTTCAATAACCCTACAAAGAAGATATTATCAGAAAACACCATTTATTCAACAATTACTTGAGCATCTCTGTATACAAATACTTTGCTCTTTCTGGGCTCTGTGATGTAGCACTGATCAAAACAGACAAAAATCTGTCTTTATGGCACTTATGTTCTGGTAGAAAAAAAAAGAAAGAAAGAAAACTGAGACTCAGATGGTCTCTTGCCCATAGAAACAAGACTGAAACTAGACTTTTATACCTATAATAATCTAATCTATTCATCAGACAGGAAAGCTGGAACAGAGCAGACCAGACAAAAGGAGCAGCCGGGTATAAGCATAGAAGCAAGAGAGACATGGTGCACCTAGACCACAGGGAAGAGTGTGCTGGTCCAGGGTACCCCGAGGTTCACGGGGACCAGACTCTAGGTCTTGATTGCCATGTAGAGGACAACCTTGTGCAACAGTTGTCATTGGTGTGTGGCGTCGGCACGGTCATGCTAGTGTCCGCTTCTGCTAGAAGACTCCTGCTGCACTGGACCTCAATGGCTTTTGCACAAGGACAGCAACATATCCTCTTTGCTCTCACACAGGGTAGAGACTAGTCTGGTTGTGTTGAGACTTTTTAAGTCTTGGCATGTAATTTAGGAAAACGGCTTTACTACAGAAGTACCTTTTACTGGTATATTCAGGACACAGTGTGGTTTCAGAGTAGCAAAGAAATTCCATTGAAAAAGCTATCAAGAGTAAATGTGGACCAACACTAATTATCTCATTCAACAATTTATCCAATGCTTAAATCCTGAAATTGCCCATATTTACCTCCTGTTGACTAATGATCTTGGCAGTGTCACATGGCCCTCTCGTATGCTGTCTTTTTTGTAGGATGCTGTTTTTGTATATGCTGAATTATATTAAAAATATCATATAAAAAATATCCTCCAAGCTATTTGGCTTTTTTTATTTCAAGAACAGAAGAACAAATTTTTAAAAAGAGTAAATGAGACCAGGTCCCCTCTCATCCTGCAGGAGTTCTCTCTCTTTTCTTTTCAATTAAATAAATCCTCTTTTACACTTAAAAAAAGTAAATAAGTGGGTTTCATATATTGACATAAGAGGTAATTTACTTAAAATCTGGTCCTGGAGCGGCTGGGGATATAGCTCAGTGGTAGAGTATTTGCCTAGCATGTGTGAGGTTTTGGGTTCAAACCCTAATGCTGAGGGGAGAAAATCTAGTCTTATAGTATTCTCTAATTTATCATCCATTTTCAAGACTGTTTTTGTCTTAAGGAGCTATGGTAGCATCAGAATCTGGGTTTTGATGAAATGTTTAAAGCTTGCGAAATGTGAAGTGAATCTTAGAAACTGACTAACTTTCTTGCCCAATTTTTGCTTGTGTAACTTGGAGATATTCTACACTTTGAAATTGTGAGATTTGAAAAACTATATGGTCTCAGTTGACAATTTTAACTGATCTTGGGACTTGGGGGAAGCTTTTAAGGCTTTTACTAGAGAGCCAGAAGATACTCACAAGCCCACCTGTTAATATGACATACAAGGCTCTTTAGGAAGCAAAGCCAAACAGACTCTCCAACCCCTCTGTGGAGCCTCTGAGAGTCTCCTCTCAGGTTTTGTGGTCCTAAGGGAAAATCTGGTGACTGGTGCTATCAGGGACAATAAAGCCATCACAGATTGTGTAGAACCTCCAAGGATCAACCCAGTCTCCATACTAATATTGGAGCATAATCCAAATTTTGCCTGATCTCAATCATGGCCTTTCCCACAATTTTCCTCTTTGGGCCACTATTTTGCAGCAATTCCAGATCAACCCTCGGCATTGCTTAACCTCCATCCAATCCATGTACATAGCTCTTTACATTTTCCATGCACCTCCATGGTAGCCTTTGGTAGCACTTCCGTTTCAGTGCCTTCTCCTCTGCCTGTGCTTCCCAAGTCGTCATGGTTCTGTGCTTATTCATCCTACATTAACTCCCCCATCCTCGAGAGAATGGCAGGACTGTCATTTTGAAGAAATGGAGGCTGAGTAACTTACCACTAGGTACCTGAGCTGAAGCTTGGAACCCACATCCTTCACTTCCAGCACAGTGCTGATCACTGACCTGATTGCCTCCTGAGGATCCAGTTTTAGTTGCAGTTTTATTTTGTTTCATTTTTTTAGAGTAAAACTTCACCTCATTATGATAGTTTTACAGCATTAAAATTTTTATGTTTCTCAAAATCATTTCAATATTTTGATCCCCAGTTTTTGTTCTGACCAGCTCACATCTGCTCTTTATCTAACCTTTTTAATTTTGTCCATGACCATCCTCCATTGCAGGCTTCTCAACCAGATGAGTTGACCATTGAGGAACATGAGGTGTTAGAAGTGATTGAAGATGGAGATATGGAAGACTGGGTAAAGGTATATTCCTTTGCTCATATCGCCCCTCTTGTGACATTTTTAGGAGTTTGTTTTGGTTCTTATTATGTCCGGTCCAAACCTTTGTGTGTGCAAACCTGTTTTGTAACCATGTCTTTTACCCAGGCTCGAAATAAAGTTGGCCAAGTGGGTTATGTGCCAGAAAAGTACCTACAGTTTCCCACCTCGAACAGCCTACTGAGCATGCTGCAGTCCTTGGCCGCTTTGGACAGTCGGTCACACACATCCAGCAATTCCACGGAAGCAGAACTCGTTTCAGGCAGCCTCAACGGAGATGCCAGTGGTAAAGACTGAAACAAGGCACTCTTTATTTGGTCATTTGACCTAAACTGTATTACCCTAGGAGTAAGCCTTCAGTAGGTTAAAAAGCACTTTCTTCCTGTCTTTTGTTTCCCTGTTTTGATCACAGTGAGTAAAAAAATTACAACTTTGAGTGGTGCTCTCTGAGTTGCCATGTGAGCATAGGGGTGGTTGCAAAAGCAGCCTTGACTGTCTTTGTTCTTAACCAGATTTGTCTCTCTCTTGCTTTCTAGTCTGTTTTGTGAAAGCACTTTATGATTATGAGGGCCAGACAGATGATGAGCTATCTTTTCCTGAGGGAGCAATCATTCGTATCTTGAACAAAGAGAACCAAGATGACGATGGCTTCTGGGAAGGAGAATTCAATGGGCGGATTGGAGTGTTCCCATCGGTGCTAGTGGAAGAACTTTCAGCCTCAGAAAATGGTGATACTCCATGGATGAAAGAGATTCAGGTACCAGAGTGGAGAGAGCTGAATTTTAAAATGTTTAAAGGGATGGAGGTGTGGCTCAGTGGTGGAATGTTTACCTAGTACGTTCAAGGTTTGATCCCCAGCACTGCTGAAAAGAAGAAAAGAACAGCTGCTTTAAAACATGATTAAAGAAAATGACTCCCTAGGGTCTCTTGAACCAGGCAAAAGTGGGTTGTAGTCTCTGTGCCTCACCCTCCGTGTTCCAGTCCTCAATTGCCAGATGTCTATATAGCTGAATTTCAGAAACCAGAGACTTGACTGTCAGACCCTTGTGGGATATGAACCTATTATGCCTTCATTCTTCTGCATTCTGTGAATCCATTAACCAAAATACTAAATCGTATATAATAAATAAATAATAATAATAATACTAAATCGTGGAGAGAGAAAAAACAAATCAGAGAGAGAATGTGTTATGTCCATGGTTAGTTTATGTGGTACAACTCTAAGGTGGCTCTTCGTTCCATCACACTCAGAGCCCTACCGCATAGCCCAGGGCCTGTCAGAGCCCCTGTCCCACAATAAAGGGGCTGTAAGGTTTTGCTCATCAGTAGGAAACTTGCATTTACAGGAAATCCTAATTTAGTCAGTTCAGTTTTTCTCTGGGGATCTGTTACAGCAGCCTGGCAGGTAGAAGAATAAAGAAAGTGTTTGCCAATCTTGTTTGTGTGATAATAACTTAGCCTCATGTACAAGAAGCTCAGCCAATTATTGTATCTTCATATGTAAAAACAGTACAATTTGTCCCCTTTTTTGTTCTTCCTTAGCTTTGTTGAATTGACTAATTTATCATATTTTCAATTAAAAAAGAAAAGCTTAGAGAATGGTTTGACTTGGTAACTGTTTGAAGATAAACTAAAATCAGTAATATAATGAGATCTATGATAGGAAACTGTTAAATGCATCATGAAACGGTTTGGGGTAGTTATTTTAGGTCCATTTGCTGACAAGCAAAAGGCTGACAAGCTTTAACACTCATAATTTAGTCCCAGAGAAAAGGAATGTGTGTTGAGCAGCAGAGAAGCAGCCAGCTCTCTTTCCTGAGGCCAAGAGCACCTGGTAACCTTGCCTTCTTCGATGCAGATCTCTCCTTCCCCCAAGCCGCAAACCTCCCTGCCTCCGCTACCGCTGTATGACCAGCCTCCCAGCAGTCCTTACCCTAGCCCGGATAAGAGGAGTGCCCAGCTCTTCCCCCGGTCTCCTTCAACAAATGGTAAGGGTCCTCCTGGGCAGGGTCTGAGTGCATTTTATTGCACAACACCACATAAATTGAGCTTTTTAATTCTCTCCCTTAGAAAACAGCCTCCATGCTGAGTCACCAGGATTCTCACAGGCATCAAGGCATACTCCTGAGACCTCATATGGCAAACTCCGGCCTGTAAGTCTCCTAGCTGGCAGGGTTATAGAATGCATAGTTCTTCCAAATCCAAATCAGCCCCTGTGTGTTGCCAAACAAGGATGAAATGAATTTGGGAAGGTAAAAAGAGTGATTGAGGGGCTGGGGTTGTGGCTCAGAGGTAGAACGCTCGCCTAGCATGCATGAGTCACTGGGTTCAATCCTCAGCACCACATAAAAATAAAATATTGTGTCCACCTATAACTAAAAAATAAATTTAAAAAAAGAGTGATTAAAAGGCTAAGTGGGTTATGTGCCAGAAAAGTATCTACAGTTTCCCACCTCGAACAGCCTCGACAGCTCTAAAGTCAATTCATCTTGGATCATTTAGTTTATACTGGAACACTTCTCACTGACATGGTAAGATCACAAGATAACCACTGTGCAGGTGTATTTCAATTGTATTTCAAGCTCTAGGAACATTGAAGTAGTATAATTGTAACATATTGAAACAATTGTTTTAGCAAGTGTTTATTAAGAATCTATTTTCCAGGCCTGTTTTTGCCTCTTTGAGGAGCATTGAAATACACTAAATGACCTCAAAGAACTCCTGTTCTCAGGGATATATTCTGACAAATAGTTACCTATGCTCACCCTTCACTTTATTGCCATCTTAGTTCCACTACCACTCCTCTTCAGGGTCATGGCTTTCATACTGGTAATCCAGTGGACTCTTTGCAATTCTGTTTTCCTTGACCCTTTATCACCATTCCTTGAACCACTAGGTTGATTCATTAAGCAGATGTGCTTTGAGTTCCTTATTAATGATTTGGGTCTTAATAAGTTTTTTTTTTTATATACTGGGGAATAAATCCAGGGGTACTATACCACTGAGTTATAGCCCCAGCCCTTTTTATTTATTTATTTTTTCAGACAGAGTCTTACTAAATTGCTCAGGCTGGCCTCAACCTCCTGGGTAGTTGGGATTACAGGCTGGGCCACCACACCTGGCAGGGACTTGGGTCTTGATTCTAAATGTGATTGGAAGCCATTGTGAGGTATTAAGCAGGGCAGTGTTGTGATTAGTTTTGTATTTTAAACACATATTTATGGCTACCAAGTGGAGACCAATAAAAGGTGGCAGAACTGATACAGGAGCCATTAGGAGGATGGAGCAGTTGTCCAAGCAAGAGGCATTAGTAACATGGGCTGGTGGGTAAGAGTAGAAATGGAGAAATCGGGGCTAATTTTCTTGTCCACCACACTTTGCTGGCTGGCTCTATACCTCCAGCTTTTCCTTTTCATTGACCTTAGCAGGTTTCTCCTCCTCTCTCCATCTCTGCTGATACTTTTCATGGTCCTATCCCTAGACTGCTTCTCTTTGAAGTCATTCAACATATTCTCCCCCAAGTTATCTATTCCCATGACTGTGAGAACCAAATCCCAGAATCATGTCTCTCAGTGAGCTTCAGACTTGTGGTAATCTCAACTTATAAATCTGAGACCAACGCCCAAAACTCAGCAAAAATTAGTGAATTACCTTCCCTCCAAGACATGTTCCTTCTTCCATTTTGCCTGTCTTGGTGAATGGATCCTCTATCCTACCAGTGCTCTGGCAGCATCCCTCAGACCTTCCTGGCCTACCTGCCAGTCATCACCAGGTCTTGCCAGGTTTACCTTGGATACAGGTCTCAAAACTCTTCACTGTTCTGCTTCCACCATTCCTGGTATCTAGTTCAGTTCACATCAGCCTTCATTCTGATGACTGGAAAGTCTCCTATGTTGTCAGCTCACTTGTCCTGTTGCCCACTTCCAGTCTCTTCTCCAAACTGTTATCTGAGACATCTTTTCATGGATCTGATATGCCTTACAATCCACCAAAGACTCCCTTGCCTACAGAATAAAGCCCAGATTTCTTTTTTTTTTAATATAGGGGGTTTTTAATATTTATTTTTTAGGTGTAGATGGACACAACACAATGCCTTCATTTTTATGTGGTGCTGAGGATCAAACCCGGGTCCCACCCATGCTAGGCGAGCGCTCTACGCTGAGCTACAATTCCAGCCCAAGCCCAGATTTCTTATAACATGTCTCAACAAGGCCCTTCATTTCTTGCCCCAGCCTGCCTCTCCAGCCTTCTCTCTTAGAACTGACTCCCAAGACATGCTGAGATGTCTTATTTCCCTAAGTATTGCGCTCTTGCCTTCACTTCCAGGCTTTAGCTTTGGAGAAGGATTTTAGGGCTTCAGTAACTGTTGTGCCCAGGGCTTTTATCCCAGGCAGCAGTCTCATTTGTAGGCTTGACATTTCACCCAGAACAGTACCTGCTTCTCGGGGTGGGAAATTTACACTGAAAGTACGTGCCCATGTCCTTGGATAGAGGACTGGTTGGACTTTGCAGATGCTCCAGCCTGAGTCTGGAAGCTGACTTACAAACCAAGACTTTGTTCATTACTCAGGTCCGAGCGGCTCCCCCTCCACCCACACAGAACCACCGAAGGCCAGCAGAGAAGATGGAGGATGTGGAGATCACACTGGTGTGACTATGGGCTTGCCCTTTGTTACCGCTACAATCAAGGCCAGGCTTGGAGTTTGGCCCATCCTGTTGTTTAGGCACCTTTGCATGATGGTGACTCTTGAACAGAGCAAAACCAAGGCAGATTCTCTGTGACTGGGTGGCCTGGTGAACTCCTCCCATGTTTTGAATATTTTGTGCCTTTTTTTTTGTTGTCATTTTCTATGTCATCTCTCCTACCATAGCACAAATCCTAGTGGGCCCTAGAAGCAGAGGAGAGCAGCCCTCATGCCTAACAGTGGTCCGTTTTTATAGGAGATTCCAGTCCAGGCCTCATTCCAGGGAATAGTCACAGAATTCTGATCATGTGTGCTCGTACAGTATATTACTGTGGCCACAAGGATGTGGCAAAGATCTCATCGTTCTTCAAGTAGCTTTTGTTCATCTGATTAAGTATTAATCAGATTCTGTTGGCTCCAAAAGGAAACAGAAGGAGGGATTCAGGAGAGGCTGGCTCCTCCCCGAAGTTCATCCCCAGATGAAGAGTGAAACCATACCAGGAAAAAGTAGACTGCCCGTTGCATTAGCGCCAGTTGCATTAACGCACATCTCTTCCACAACTAACAGATTTAAAATAATAACAGTGTCCTTTGTATTAATATTTATGCCATTCATTTAGTATTAGTGGGGCTAACCTGGAGGGGGCTAAACTAGTAGCCACATCTTGCCCATCACATAGACTAATAGAAAGGAGGCTACGGCCACAGCAGAGATGGAGCTTCCAGTTCTGAAATGAGCCGGTTTAATGTTCTTTTTGTCTTTGGACATTTTTCAACTCAGTTTTTACAGCATATACTCTTCTGACCAATATCTTTAGAACCTGAGTGTCTGATAAATTAAGGACACATGCCTGCTTGTTGAGCTTCTCTATCGGGGAGGTCCCTAGCACTATTTTGTTCGCAGGCTAGTGCACTGACCCAGACAGCCTGGTCGCTGTTGGTATAGACAAGCTGTCACTCATGAAAAATGCAGCCTCCAGGTCCTCCCTGATGCTTCCTAGGAAGGAAGAACCTGTGGGCCTGTGGAGGAAACTAGCTTCCTGAGCAAGAAAAGACTCTGACTGCACATCCCACACAAGTGCAGACTGATGAGCAAAAGGAGCCTTCTTCGAGTCCCAGGAGAGCTGGGGATGGGAGGGGTGCTCAGCAGTCTGCAGCACTGGGAACAGCGTGGGGCTCTGGAAGGTAGGGAGTGTGTTACCTAGGGACTAAGGGAGGCTTGCCTGTTGCTTTTCTGTTTTTGCTAAGAAATCAGATTTTTTAGAATTTAATCCAAAAATTGTATTATGCTTTGAAAATCCCATCCCTCTTAAGAATCTTTAGAAACTTGAAATGCTCACCAAACATCCCCGTGGGATTTTTGACAAAATGTAGGGTCAGAACCGAAGAAGTTTTCAGTTATTCATTTGATCACTTCAGTAACTATACCCTTGACTGTTCTCTATGGTTTTGGTTTTTTGCATTTTGTAAGCTGTTGATCTATTTGAGGTCTTTTTATGTTTATCAAACTTATTCTTAAGTTTAAAAGAGCAATTAAAAGGGTGGTTTTTTAAAGATTTTACAATTTGCTGAAATGTTACAATTCTAARAAGTGCTTATTAAATAGAGCAGTTCAACTTGACACCCAGTCTTCTACTCTTTCTTTAGCTAGCCAAATTTTCCTTGAATTTGGATTTTTCACAACTTCAGAAAGTTGTTGAAGTCTTTTGTTAGATCTTAAAATGTTTCTTGGAAGAGCTGCTAATTTTATTTTTAAAAACAAAGTTGTAAAAATATGCCTCCTTTTTAAAAAAATAATCCCTCCCTCCAGGACATGTAACCCAGCATCACCATGCACAGGGCAGGGCTCAGAAAGAGTCTCTGTGCAGATGCGCTTTCTTTACAGTGGCTGTAAAAAATTTGTATTTATTATGTATAAAATATTGAATAATAAAAAATGGAATTAAGTTTTCCAAGTTTCCTTTTAAAAAGGTTTGGTTCAACAGACTTTTCCAAAAATACCATGTTTCTTACAAAGATACTCTTGGGCCCTCCTTTACGGCACTTAACAAATTCAGAGAGCAAGTAAATAACACCATGGGACACAGACCCTGAGACCACTTTTGTGCCAGGTATGATATCCTGGGTCCTAAAGATGGAAAGAAATAAGTAATGGTCTTTGCTTTCAAGGTTCTTTCCCAGTGGGGAAAGAAGACGGCTACATACAATGAGGACAATATTATGAGACATGCTGGAAAGAAAGGGCAGCAGCATGCTGGTGAGCTAAGGAGGGAGCCTGGAGGATGTGACCGTTGGCTTCCTGGATGTGGTCGTTCTGGATGCTTCTCCCCTTTCCCATAGCTACATCCTAAGAAGTAATGAACTGAGTGTGTATAAGGACATTTTATTGGTCCCAAGAAGGATATATCAAGTATGCAGCACAGGGTGGTCTCCACAAACTCCTCACATCATTTCTCCCACCTCCTGGGTCCTCACCTTCATAACTGAGATCCTCAATAGTCTCCTGCTGTACAGGAACACACAGGTCCCTCAAGAGGCCTGTGTGAAGGGATGTGTGTGAGGTGTCCAGCCATAAATCTGGGACACAGAATATTTCCATCTTCTGCTTTCCCTGCAGTGCAGGCTGCTCACATTTGAGATGGCTGTTAGCACTGGAGGCTTAGTCTGTGACCAGGGGCAAAGTTCAGCTAATTGCCCGGTCCCAGTGTCACAGCTAACCGTTGGCCTCCTTCACCTTAGGAACAAGCTTGATGCAGTCAAGCCAGACTCCTAGCATATGACCTGCAGCACTTCCTCTTTGACCCCACCACCCAGCCCATGTCCAAGAGCCACACAGAATCCATGTGATGTCATCTGGCTTCAGCCCTGACGCTGTTAAATGAGTGATCCTCCCTCCAAGCTGCTGCAACCCCAACTTTAAAAGGAATGGAATGAGGTGATTTCCAAGAGTTTATCCAACTCTTACTCTGGATCAGTTCAGTTATTCCAAGATACAAGTAAGAATATCACACAGCAGGTCACCGTAGCTGAGAACAGACCATGTAGATAGGCTTCTTGGAAGGCAAGCATGCTCACCACTCCACCACCAACACTGTCCAGCCATGGCTGAAGACTTCTTAGAATAACAAGAAATTGAAAAGAAAATTCCAGCAATTGGACTCATCCACTGAGACAAACTGTCGTGCTCCAGGTTGTAATGACATCCCGGGCTGTACTAGTCCCTGCCGAGGGAACCCAGCCACAGTTTTTGGTTTTGGTTCCAGTTACTGCCCAGCCCTCTTAAAGTAGCTTTATGACAAAATCTGGCAGCTCTGAAACCTTTGCATTTGTTTTTTTCATTGTAAAGTTTTTCCTGACAGAAATATAACCAAATAATAGAAATTTTAGATTAAAAGGAAGAGAGTTAAAGTTTGTCCTGAAACCCCACCACTTGACACAACCAATTGAGTTTCCACCTAGGTTCTTCCTGTGTTTGCTTTGTTCCTGCCTGATCTGCCAAGAACCATACGAATGCCAAAGAGCATCTTGTTCCTGGACTATTTTCCCTTGGTCCCAGTGGCCAAAAAAAACCACACATAGTCCTTCTGCCATGTCTGTTTCTGAGAACTCTGATCTGGGAATATCTTCCTGAAGTGTTTTATCCTGAAGAATTGCAGAAATTAACCCATGAGTAGGGTCCACACCCCTTCCACACTGTACCAAACATTTGCCACAGCTGGCTGCTGAGAGGGGCAGGAAGAAATGGGGGAAAGACTGTGTGCAAGCCCTGAGCTATCTCAGATTTGCCCTGAGGGGCTGAGGCTCAGCCCTTCACCTTTCTAGCCCTCATTTTCCTCATCTTTGAAGGTAGGAGTGAGAAGGTAATGCCAACTTCCTAAAGTCCAAAAGGATCAAACAAGATAATGTACACATGAGCTGAAGATATTATTTCAGAGAAAGCCTAAAACCAGAGGTCGTGTGTCTGAAGATGGAAATATTCACACATTCTCACAAGTGGGTCCATACCTTGTGTCAAGATTCCTTCAGAAACCAGCTCTGTTACTCTGTCCATTCAGCAAACTACTGTACCAGGCTATGTTCTGGGCACAGGAGTTCAGCCCCTGTCCCAAACAGGCTCACATAATGTGGGGGAGTCTCAAGAAAACAGAGGAGCCAGGGCTAGGAGATGACCAAGGGGTAGTAGGTACCAGAACGAGGGCGTCTGTCATTTAAGGCCTCAGATTAGGCAGGGCAGTTGGAGGTACTTAGGCCTACAGAAGAGCTATGTCACCTGGCTGATGGGGTGGGGAGAGCCTTGGGACAGGAAGTTTCACAGATGGCAATATAGAGCCTGGAAGCCACTGTGATTTGCCTCAGTTCTGCTGTGTGACCCAGAACAAGCTCCTGCCCTCCCTTGGGCATCAGTTCATGTACATGGCAAGTGTACAGGTCATTCCAGTTTGACTAGGGACCTAAACTCAGGCAGACAGCACCCAAATGCCTGAGTACTAGAAACCCAAGCACTAGGGTCGGGGGTGTGGCTCAGTGATAGAGTACTTGCCTGGCCTGCATGAGGCTCTAGGTTCCATCCCAGCGCTACCAATAAAAAGAAAAGGGCTGGGATTGTGACTAGGTGGTAGAGCACTTGCCTAGCATGTGTGAGGCAATGGGTTCGATTCTCAGCACCACAAATAAAGTCCATTGACAACTAAGAAAATATTAAAAAAAAAAAAAAAAAAAAAAAACCTGAGCACTGACTTCTGAAAGGCCTAGAGAGGTTTTTATCGTTAGCCCCTTTGAGCACCTGCCCTGGGCATCTGTGGCCTCTCCCTTCAGCCTGCCTCTCCTTTCAGATCTGCTCCTCCAGGAAGCACAGAAATTTAAGGTGGACATGTACTCCATGAGGCCACACCATCCCACAGTGTGTGATCAGGCTTGCCCCCATAAGTGGAAGGAAGGCCTTCAGGGAAGCTGGCGTCCCAGAGAGTGAGTCCCATCATCTCCTGGGCTGTCTGAGCAGTCTGTGATCTGCTGAGCTGTGCCTTCCAGTGAGGCACTTAATCTGAACGGCAAGTTTCCTTCTCTCCTGTGTTCCTGCCTGCCCTCACTTTGAAGGACACTAACCCTCCTGGCTTTAAGGGTCAGAATTGAAGAGAGAAGATGCAAGGAGGGAGCCCAGCTAGACACAAAGCTGGAATCACCCCCACTCTGGTAGTGGTGGCAGTTGTGGTGGCTGAAGGGGGTGGGGGGCACGGTGCATCACTGCCCAGGGAGCCTAAAGTCTGACATTTGTATGATGAATGCAGTCACAATGCAGGTGTGTGCAAGTGTGATCTTGACTCAACCTCTGAGCCTCATCTTTTCTCATCTGTAAAATAGGTGATAACCATATCACAAGCTGGTTGAGAGGAACAAATGAAATTACAGGAAGTACACTGGAGGCTGACACGTTAAGTACTTAGTAATGGTGGCCACTGGGACATCATTGGTTTTTTCAGCCATCAGTCTCTGGGGGGAGGCTGGTGAAAGGACTCCTCAGAGACCAGACAGCTGGTGACCCCTGCTGGCCACTAGGGACCAGAGCAGTAGGGCTGGGGCAGGGGTGAAGGGAGCTAGATTATTGAACTCACAGAGTGCCTGCATAGGAGAACTTAATGACTTCATAAACATTCCCTGAGGTTTCTCTGAGCCAGGCCTGATCCCAGGGAACATTCTGTTCCCATCCTGGCCTCTTTCAAGAGCTCCATGGCTTATAATGGAGAGAGGCTGATAACAAAACAAGAAAGGGTAGGACCAAGCCTGGTAGATGAGGAAAGGGCCGTCAGTGGGGGAATCCCGAAGGACAAATTTTAATTGTGGGCTGGGAGGGACAAGAACATTCTTGATAGAGTAAAGCACATGCAAGTCACATTCAGAATAGCAAGGGAATGAAGATGCAGGCCAGCAGGGTGGCTTCCAAAGGCTTAGATTTCAAGCTGAGGGGTTCTTCTGAAGGCTGCAGGGAAAATTCAAAGGGTTGGCAACTTAGAAAGTCACTGGCTCTGGCAAGTAGGGGACTGGGAGGAGACAGTGAGTCTAGAAGGTGGCCTGTAGTGGCAGCAGGGATGGAGAGAAGCATGAGGCACAGCAGCCTCAGGATCTGGTACTATGAGGGGCAGAGGTCACATGCACAGATGACAGGAGGCAGCTGGGTATGGCATCCAGAGTTCAGGACTGCCGTGCCAGGAGAAGTAGGCAATCTGGGAGCAATGAGAGTAGATTTTGCCATTTGGTCAATACCTTTCTGTCTTCGCTGACCTGTGCCAAGCCCTAGGCTACAGAAAGAAGTGGGGTGCTGGGTTCTGCCCTGTGAGTTCAGCCTGGACTGAGGCATATTGTGGGGGTGAAATTTGATGCCACGGTAAATGAAGGCCCAGGCTTAAGCTGCCCTCTTCTACCTGGGCCCTGCCTCTGGAGGAGGAAAGGGGGCCAGTGTAAAGGCTTGCCCAGTGTACCAAATACTTTGATATCACTCTTGTTTGTTAGGACCCTTTCCACCAGGACCCCATGGGCTGCTTGCTCCCTTTTCAGCCCACTGTGTTGGTTTGGCCTCAGGGCCAGGTTGGACCCAAGGCTACATTTCCATGGCTCTGAAAGGCACTGATTTAGGCTATCCTGAGCCGTTCTTCATGCTGTTTGCATGATTAAGCTGGGCAACCTGTGTCCCTGGGCAGAGGCTGGGCTGGCTCTGCCAAAACAGCTCTATGCAGGAGGAGGAAGGAGACCAAACCAGATTTCCCTGAGCCCCCAGCCCAGGTCTCCCTGTACCCCACAAATGCTGCAAAGATACAAACAGACAATTTTGTTAGTCACCCTCCCCGCAACTTTAGAAAGGAAAAGTGAGGAGATACATATTTTAAAGACTTTTTAAACAAGAACACTGTTTTTAAACAAACAGGCCAAGTCCTTCTGGGCCTTCTTCCCCATTAAATTTGGAGGCCACCCCCACCCTGTGGGCTCTGGAGCCCTGTGAAGCGGAGGGAAGCTGTTCTCCAGCCCAGGCTGAGGGGGCGTAGTCCTAGCGCCAGAGCACAACCTTCCTGCCCTGGTCCACGCTCACCACGTGGCTCCCGGAGCAGCACCAGGCCACAGCGTTGATTGCAGCACTGAGGAGAGGGAGAGTAGGGTTCAAGGAGCAGCAGGAGCCAGGTCTGCAGCCTGGCTCTGCCCCCCAGTATTGGACCTAGATAGTTTGAGGCCCTCTGTGAGCCCATTTCCTCATCTGTAAAGTGGGTATCTATAAAACACATGTGGAAGGATACCTGGGTGCTKTGAAGGGCTGGGGGGGTGAAGGTTTGGAGACAGGGGCTGGGAGATATTAGAACCTGGTGTCAGGCAGGACTAGTAGGAGGGTAGTGTCTGCTCACCAGTGGGGGCCCTGAAGGCTGCTCTCCAGTTTCCCAGTGTCAACATCCCAGATGTAAAGGGCTCCATTTGAGGAGCCTGCCAGTGCATAACTTCTGTCAGGGCTGCAGTGGCCACAGCAGAACAAGAGAAAGGGACTCAGGTAAGGACACACACAAGGACCAGGTGGGGTGTACTCGAGGATGGGCAAGCTCTCACAGACACACCTGAACACAGCTTTGGTCCAGTCAGAACCACATTTGAAGCCATCAGCCCTAAAGACAAACAGGGCTGGGGTCAGAATGGAGATCACTGCCAGTCCTGTCCCCAACCAGGGGCTTTGAGAGCCCCATCTCTATAAGGTGTCAGGTACCTCAGCAGGTCCTGGTCAAGAAAGGCAGAGAACTTTTACAGGAAAAGAGAAACACAGCTGCCCCAATAAAGGCCACAGGGTCAACAGGCAGAGGCTAGTACCTGAACACCTGGCGGATATTGCTGACCCGGAGGTCGATGACCTTGAGTGTGTTATCTCTGGAGCAGATGAGCAAGTGCAGCTGGTCATGGCTGAGGCTCAGAGAGGTGACCCGGCCCTGCACAGGAATGACCTGGGTGCAGCGGGGACCCCTGAGGAGAGAGGGGTAAGGAACAGTCCCCCAAGCCATTCCTGAAAAGAAGGGACTAGGTATGGTCCCCTTCCTAACCAACAAAGTCCAGAGGCAGGTCTCTCCAGTAACTAATCTTCCTTATCCCTACACCCAGCTCCCTCCACTGAGGAACTTGGTCAGACTTCGATTTGAGAAGGAGCCCTTGAAACCCTTGGATCACTAAAATAAACACTGGAAGAAAAGCAATGAAAAGTCTGTTTTGAAAAACTTGAGAGAAGGAAGGGCTTCAAAGGGCAGTCCCTGCACACCAGCAAGACCAGCCTACATGGGCCCTGCTCTGGCTCCAGCTCTGCATTTGTAAACCATTCACCCAATGCTGGGCTCTTCTGTTCAAAAAACAACTAAAAACATTTCTTGGTTTTTTTATTGAAGCGTGGTAGCCAGGCATGGAGGCACATACCTATACCTGCAGCTGCACAGGAGCCTGAGCAGGAAGATCCCAGCCTGGGCAACTTAGCAACACTCAGTCTCAAAATAAAAGTAAGAAGTGTTGGGGATGTAGCTCAGTGGTAGTGAACCACTGGGTCCAATCTCTGGCACCAGAAAAAAAGTAGAAATAAAATGGAAAAAGTTGTTTGTCCATCTTGGTTGTAAAGCCCAGGCTGTCAGTACTGGACTGAGAAGTCACAAGGAAAGTGGCACAGCTTCCCAGGGGCGCTGTGCCCAACAGAGGATACCAGCTGGTGGTGCCAGCCCCATAGCTTCACTCCCCCAAGGAACCACCATGACCCTTCCTGCCAAGGAGCAAGAACTCCAGCACTCTGACCCCAGGTCCACCAGCCACCCACAGTCTGCCTGTCACCTGCTATCCCAGAACCGGATCTTCTGGTCATTGTGGCCACTAATGATGATGTGGTCCCCGCACACCACGTCGTTACAATAGGAAAGGACATTGATAGTTCTGGAACCTAGGGACCAAGGGGTAGAGCCCAGGGTCTCAGAGGCTTGTCAGGAGCTAGCACAGTAGACACGTAGAGATGCTGAGGTCCAAAAGGGGCAGTGTTCTCCCAAGACTAGAACCCAGATCTTCCCAGCCCAGGACTCAGTCCACCTCTTCTTCATCTACCCAAAGCTTAAAGTCATGAAGAAATCAGATAGGGAACACCAATGGGGCACAGAGAAGGATGACCTTGGAAGGTTTCACCCAAAATGTCTTTGAATCCCAGAGCCACTCCCAGAAAGCAGGGTAGGTTCCCTTGTATCTGAGGGAAGGGGGGGGTTGGGAGGTGGAGTTGGAGCTGAGCCTCACAGTAGGCACGGCCAAGGTCCCACTCCTTCACTGTCCGGTCTCTGCTCCCAGTCACCGCCTGGTGTCTTGTTAGCTTGAATTTGGCAGCTGTCACCTTGTCCTTGTGTCCAGACAGTGTTTCCTGCCCCCATCCCAAGTCTGGATCAAAGGCATGGCCAAGACCCCATAATAGCACCTCCCCTAGGCTGCCTTCCCAGTCAGGTCTCACCTTGGACCGTGCCTCTCCCACCTTCCAGAGCTGGGCAGCCTGATTGTAAGTAGCTGCCAAAACCTGGGAGCCCTGGAGAGATGGGGAGTGTTAGAGGTCTGAGTCTAGGCCTGGCCAAAAGCAGCATCTTTCAGTCCAGAGAACTATGGTAGTGGTGGCCTTAAAGGTTCCCATGGCCCAAGTCATCAAGGAAGACAAAGGAGCCTCAGGACAGCAGGAGTGGTATATGCAAGAGCCCAAGGACCCAGCTTTTGGATACTGTTACTGATGGGAGCCTCTGCCCACTGGTATAGAGACTGGGGTGTGGGGGGATAATCCCATGCTACTGGGGCAAAGTCCCCTCACCGAGGGGTCGAAGTCCACACTGGTGATGCTGCCACCAGCTCCCTCAAGGGTCTGGTTGGCCTCCAGGCGACCTGGCAGGGCAGGGGGAGAGCAGGGAAAGGAACAGGTGAAATGAGGTCACTCACAAAATAGAGGAACCCAGAGTGGGAACAGGAGTCTCTCTTAAGTTAGAGCACAGAATCACCGAGTACAGTTACAGCCTGGATTGCAGGGGCCTCAGGGGGAACCTAGGCATTTCCCAGATAGGGCTAGAGAAAACCAGAGAGAAGGGATTGTCCATAGGTCACACAGCAAGCCAGGCCAGACCAGCTGGAGATTCGCCTCCTCTAGGAAGCCTCCAGGGGTTGGCTCTGAGTCCCTAACCCAGTTGTAGAGCACAGAGCTTAGCACAAGATGGACAGTCAATGTTTGTCTCCTGACTTCTGGCAGGTGGAGTGATACCAAAAGAGGTGATGGCCTGGTGAACCCAAGGACTTGTTCCTCAAAGGTCTGTCCCTGTAAGACTGATAAGGGATCTCCCCCTCCCCCAACAGAGGCCCATCTGCACTCAGCCCTCCCCATCTTGCAGGCCTAGGGGTTCTTCCCTTCCTTGGAGAGGCATCCTCAGAGTCCTGCTCTTGCTGAGGGGTTCTCTAGCTATTGCTCACAGGAATATTCCAGGTAGAGGCAAACATTAAGAGGCCAACTCAGGAGCAAGCTGAGAGTAGATCTTTAGAGAAAGTACTGGGTTGGGCTGCAGGGAGGGGTGGGTCCTTACCTCCTACCACATTCCAGAGGTGGATAAGACAGTCAGCCCCACCAGTGGCCAGGAGACTGCTGTTAGGGCCAAAACATACAGCATTGACCTCAGAAAGGTGGGCATCCTGTGAGGAAAGGGGAGGTTGGTGACCCGGGCCTTCCCCACATATGCTTGTTTGTGCCCCCTCACAGGCTCACTCTCAATGTGCCTGTGCACACATACAGCCTGCTGCTGGCTTGGTATCCACACCCCAGGTCTCTGCCCAAATCCTGAGTTTCAAACTTAGCCCCAGCAAATATCTTCATTTCTGCCTGGTCCCCTGAAGCAGCCTCCCAACTCTGCCTCCCAACACTCTCATTGGGCCACCTACTCTCTCAGCCTCCCATCTCCCTTTCCAGTCTATGCCCCCATTGTAAAGAGCCTGAGCAATTCCCACCATGGCCTGTAGAGACAAACTCCTGCTGGTCCTGGGGGTCTTGCTTGCCTGGCCTGCTCGAGACACCCCTAGTGCCTGCACTCCCATATTGGCCCCCACACATGTGGCCCAGTTCCTCCCTTACCAGGACATCTTGAGCCCAAGTAGGAAGTCGTGCAGCCACACACACAGGGATGCTCTGGTATCGCTGCTCAGGAGCACCCCCAATTGAGTGACCTCTCCTCTTCTTGAAACTGCAGGGGTAGAGTCAGGAGGATGTTCACCAAGGCCTTCTGATGTGGGGGCTTCAAGCTCCCCAAAGGCAGCAGCAACAGGAAACAGACATGGCAGTAGCAGAATATGGCCCCAGGATCCAACCAACCCGTTCCCCAACCCGGGATAGAGTGGAGAATACACAGGAAAGCACAGAACAAGGGCAGGATTGGTGGTTGCAGGGAAACTTCAGGGCTAATGGTTAGTATTGGCCTTGCCACTGCTTGGCTTTGTGACTGAATGAGTTCTTACATTTCTGAGCCTTAGTTTCCCAATTGAGTGAGAGTTCCCATTTGGCCTCAGGCTGGAACTCTTGGTCCCCTGTGAGGACCTTGGATAAGGACAGATCCCTTATGAGCCTGGAAGATAGCTGAGTAGGAGTTAAAAATGAGGTCATACACCTGGCTCCTGCCTCTGGGGCCCAAAAGAGATACACACAGACAGTGGGCACCATATGGATGAACAGACGAGGCACATACAGAGACCAAGCCTGGGCTCCAGAAGCCTGACATGAGACTCCAACAGGCCCAACCACTTCACATACACAAATACACACACTTACTCTAGCAGCCCCTTCACCACATCCACACAGTGGGACAGAGTCAGAGAGGTGGCTGAGGCAGACCTGGGGCAAAACCGAGAACCACGTGCTAAGGGACTGGCTGGTAGGTGTGCAGACAGCAATCATTCATCCCTATACTTTGCTGGAGATCTGAAGACTCATAACCTCTAGAGCCTAGAACAAGAACTTGACTCCTTGAAGATCAGGAGGGTTGTAATCCAGACCAACCCAGGAAAATGCAGGCAGGGAGGGACTTGACAATGGAAGTCTCTACCATGATGGTAAGAACTACCAACCCCCCCACCCTCAGCAAATGCTCACAAACAAAAGCTCCTGGGAGGCTGAGCTAGGGCATATGGGAGTGGGCAGATGAAGTGGCCTCAGGCTGGGACAAGGCTGGGGGCAGTGAGGAGGGGAAACCTAAGCTTGTTGAGTAATCTCAGAAATGCCCAACTGTACTGGGATGTCTCAGCCCACCAGGGCTGCCAAGAACTTTGGAGACCAGTGTCTCAAGCCCCTCCCCAAGGTTCCTTCACTATCCCAGGACCTAGACACCAGGGACCTACAAGAAAAGACTGAGGAGAAGAGCCTTCAGGCTGGGAAATGGAGCCAGGAGAGAGCAGCCTCAATGACAAGTAAATCAAGACTTGGGGTCACTGAGAGTGTGAGCAAACATCTACATATGTTCTTATGTTCATACACACTAAGGTATTTGCTCCTGTATACATATGCCCATGTCCCTTGTGTATACCTACCCATGCACACACCTGTGTTTACATACATACATGCCTAGGACAGATGAGCCCTGGGCCTTGCCCACAGTTCCCTCCTCATGACACCCCTTCACAAGCCTTAAACCCCACCCCAGAGCTCTGGTCCTAGGAAGAAGAGGAAGCAGTGCGTGTTCAGTGAAAATGACCCCAACTACCCAAAGCACTGTAGGTCAGACCAGTCCTGGGCTGTACCCCAGCTTCTCCCCAAACTCCTAGCCCAACCCACCAGCTGGCCCCAAGGTCCTAGAAGAAGATAATGGCAGCCTCAGAATTCTGAGACAGCCAACTGGGTCCTCACCTGAAAGGCCTTTTCCACTTCCCACAAGCCTCACTCTCCAGGGACTCAGGCTTAATAGCCAGAGCCAGAGTCTCTGTCTGCTCTCTGATCCCATCATGTAGAGTGTGTGGAATCCTGGGAGAGAGGAATAAAGCTCAAGAAGGCTAAAGCAACAGGCCAGCCCCTCCCTGCCCAAGCACTGATTACGGTGAGGATGTGAATTCCGGGCGGGGAAGGGTCCAAGTGGGAGGGAGAATTGTGGTGGGCACATGAACTTGCTCCTATGATCACACAGCTCTGCAAGGATTCAGTGRACCCTGGATTGCTGCTGTGTCCACAGGCAGTCAGGTGTACCGGTGTGGGGGAGTGGGTTAGATGGAAAAATGGGCAGACAGTCGGGCAGCTACAGAGTACAGGAGTCAGATCCGGTCCCTCCTCACTCTTACTCGCTGATGCTCACAGTCCGTTTGGCAGCCTTCTTTAGTTCCTGGGACACCCGCGCCTGATTGGCCCTAGTGGGGAAAAAAGCATCCTAGGAGCCAGAAGATTCCAAGGTGGGGTACCAAACGCCCCTGCCTTCAGGTTCGAGCCTGACTTAGTCCATTCTCCCCAGGGGGCAGTCCCCACCGCTGCCTTTCAGGCAAGGGCGAGGCCAGACTCTGAGGAGGCTAGCCACAGAACAGGTTGGGGCCCAGCCCTCCTACCGCTCTCGGCGCTCGTTGCGCAAGTTGCACTCGGCTGCGGCGCGCTCCTTGCGTTGCAAGAGCTGCTCCAGCAGATCGCGCGCCTCCTCCTGGAGCCTGCGCAGTGCCGCCTCTTGGTGCCCAGTGTGCACGCGCAGCGCCTCGTAGGCCTTCCGCTGCGCCGCATTCTGCTTCCGTAGCTCCTCCACCAGGCTGACCTGCTGCGCCCTCGCCTCCCGCAGCTGCGCCACGTGGGCCTCCACAGCCGCCAGCCTGGAGGACCCGAAGCGCAAGCAGTGCATCCCAAAACGCTTCCATCACCGCCCAGTGGGGACCCGCCTAAGACCCCAGAGAGATGTACCCATGACCGCCAGGTGGTTAAGCCACGTCCCCAGCCAAGCCTTCGCCCTCAGAGCCGTGCAGTTCGCATCCCCCAAACACAAGCCAGGGGTCTTTGGTGGTCATGGGGAAAGCTGTTGGGGCCACGCAATAACCCTACCTGGGGCAGAGGAGGGCGCAGTCCCTTTCACCCTACCGGTACTCACCTGCTTTGCCGCTCCTCCAGCTCCGACTGCAGGGCATCCAAGGCTGCACTCTTCTTCACCACCTGGTAGGCCATCTGTGGGGGCGGACAGGTGGTCTTGGGCACCTCTGGAGGGCTCACACCAGGCCTCACGCCCCTCTCAGGCAGGAGAGGCTGGAGGGACAGAGCCTGCCACCACTTTCCACGGCCCCTTCCCAACAAGGCTCAGATGAGTTTAGGATCGTGCATAAGGATGCAACAGAGGCTCTAGGCTCACAAGTCTGACTCCTGAGTTTCAATTCTAGCTGTGCTGTGCCACTTATTTTCTCTGTGACCCTAAGGGTGTAGAGACCCTTGGAAAATGAATCTCCTTAGCAAGCTTCATTTTCCTCATCTGCAAAATGGGAATGATAGTGCCTACCTCCATAGGGCTGAAGGAATGCTGAATGAGGCAGGGGTACAGATGAGATGACCCTCACCCTACCTCCATAGAGCAACCCAGAACTATTATGAAGAAAAATATTTTAAAAAATAGCAGATGGTTGTCTAGCATTTACACGTGCCATGCTTTATTCTGAGCATTCTACACATATTAACTCTTTTAATCCCCATAATAACACCATATAGTAAACCCACCAGCCTCGTTTTACAAATGAGAACATTGCTACAGAGAAGTTAAATGCCTTGTCCAAAGTCACACAGCTAAGTAACAGTTGATATTTGAACTCAAGCTACCTAACTACATCATGCTCCAAGTAAAGTGTTGATCTACAGGGAGGGTTCAAGGGATGTGAGTTCTATTCCCTGCCTCTCCAACATTTGGCTTTCTTTACAATCCCTAACCAACTGCTGGCCTGCCCAAGCACAGATCTCAGAATACAGAAGCACACAAGGCTAAGAACAGGAATGGACTGTGAGAGTACTGAACTCAGACTGAGTCCTGGAGCTGCCCTGACAGCCCAGAAGTAGGGTGAGAATCATTACATATTTACCCCTGCCTCACTCCACATTCCTTCAACCCCAGAGCCAAGAGATGGGCCAGCCATGAAGATGAAATTTGGTTCCCTTCTTTCAATGCTGAGGGGTCAGTGAGAAAAACAGATCCAAGGCAAGGCAGTGCCCACCAGTGTGGTAAGAGGAAGATGAGGGCCAGACTCTGAGCACCTCTGGCCCAGCAAATAATCACAAGGAAGGGACGGGGTGGAGGGGTACTCTTATTGCTAACATCTGTTCCTGGTACTTTCTCACAAGGGCTTGGTAAGGATGGACTGAGGTGCAAGGCTGAGGCTGTCTACCTGCACTGATATAACTCCCTGTGTAAAGGACTGTGAAGACCCCCTGCACATGCAGAGAGGGCCCCTACTTTCATAGCTGGTCCAATTTACAATATTTATAATCCTTCTCACCACTGAGCAAACTAATTGCCATCCTTGTCACCTATCACTTGCTTTCATTTCTGTTGTGTTATACTACTCGATATTTTTTTATTGGTACTTGTCAAAATTCAAATGATAGAGGTGGAAAACAGATGAGTGGTTGCCAGAGGTTAGGGGTGTTTGGGGAAGGGTGAGTGTGACTAAAAAGGGATAGCAAGAAGGATGTCTGGTGGTGATGAAATTGTGCTGTATCCTGATGAATACAAATCTACAAATGTGATGGCATGTCACACCATTATCAAGTTGCAACCACAGCTCTGGGGGAGAGGCTCTCAATTTGTCTGTAACCCCTTCCCACATTTGTGTTGGGCAGGTGACTTGGCTTTGGCCCAGCACACTCTCCTCCCTTGAAAACTCCACAGGGCCAGGTCTGTTCACAGCTGCACTCCCTGTTCCTTGGACATAGCGACTGTCAATAAATATTTGTTGAAAGAATGAAGAAATCACAAAAAGTGGATTTGTGTGGGTGGAGTTTCAAATCTAGATTCCACCTCTCTAAGTCTCAGTTTCCCCCTCTGTACCTACAATGTAGAGGATTAACTAAGCTAATGCTTGCCTAGTGCTAAGTGCTATATTATGGAAGAGATGGTGACTTCATTTATTTTACTTATTTATTTATTTATTTTTATTTGTGGCCCTAGGGATTGAACCCAGGAGTACTCTACAACTGAGCTACATCCCCAGCTCTTTTTATTTATTTATTTAGAGATAGAGTCTTATAAGTTTCCTAGGCTGGCCTTGAGCTCACAATCCCCCTGCCTCAACCTCCTGAATCACTGGGATTGCAGGGTGCACCATCACCCACAGCTGGAGATGATTTTAGATGTGATGTCTCAGCTGAGCAAGAGTCCAGTGTGCAGAAAAGAAGGCTGGGTAGAGACAGGTCCGAGAGTCAGAAGAGAAAAAGAGAAAAAGTCCAGTGCTTGCAGCACTGGACTTTAAGGGATGCAGCAAACACAGGAAGTTCTGCTCACTTCCTGGTTCCCTTGACAGTATCTCCCTGCCCCAAAGTCCTGGATCCTGGCCCTGCCCCATTCTTTTTTTTTTTTTTCTTTTTTTTTTTTTTTTATTGTTGGTCGTTCAAAACATTACATAGTTCTTAATACATCATATTTCACAGTTTGATTCAAGTGGGTTATGAACTCCCGCTTTTACCCCGTATACAGATTGCTGTATCACATCAGTTACCCTTCCATTGATTGACATATTGCCTTCCTAGTGTCTGATGTATTCTGCTGTCTGTCCTATTCTCTACTATCCCCCCTCCCCTCCCCTCCCCTCCCCCTGCCCCATTCTTGATCCTTTCCCAGCTTACCTCACCACAGTCCAGGCGGAGCCCCTCCTCCTCCTCCTCCTGCCACTTCACCCTCAGAGTGTCTGGTGGTGAGCTTTGGTCTGAGTCAGACCCTGACTCCTCCCTGCCAACCAACCAGAGAGTGGTACTTACGTCCCCTCCATTCACCCCAATGCTCAAAGGCTCCCAGTGTCCCATGAAAAGCCTGAAACAAGAGCCGTTAACTTTTTCTTGAGGAAAATGGAAGCCTGAAAGCCACTCAAGGAAAAAGCAAGGATTGAAGAGCAGTCAGTGGTGGAGTGCTTGTCTAGCATAGGAGAGGCCCTGGGTTCCATCCCCAGCACCACAAAAAGGAAAAAAAGGAAAGAGCAAATCTCAGAAATGAGCTTTCATGAGTTCTGTGCCTTGTGTTTCCTTGCCAAGGACCTTCCTCAAAAAACACCTGCTAACTCTGGCCCCATCCCATTCCTTGATCTAGTCTTTACTCTCTTTCTCTTTGGAATAGGGAGCAAGATCCTTTCTGTAGGCATCAGGTAAGGAACAGGGAGATGGAAAAAGGCTAAGGGGGAAAGACAGGAGTGCAGGGTTAGGAGGGGAAAGAGATAGGAAAAATGCAGAGAAAGAAGGAGAAAGGAGATTTTAAAGCAGCTGGCCTGGGAGAGGGCCTGCCTCTCCAGAACCACCCCTGACTAGCAGCTAGGAGCCACTGAGGTGCTGGGAGAGTATGACCCAGCATGGGGGCTGGGTGGCAGGAGGGACTAGAAACAGGCAGCCTATTATGATCACTGATACATACACTTACCAGAAGCTCTGATGGGTGGCAGAAGTAATATCATTTGGCTTCATATGAAGCTTCTCTGAGAATTTGGCCAACAGCTCAGCTTTTTCTAGGAGATGATTATCTGGGGGAGCAAGAGGGTGAGTTGGGGCAGAGATAGACACTTTCCAGCCAACCCCTGGCATACAAGTTACCTATGGCTAGAAAGGCTACAGGAGTCCAGAGATGCTGGAAATGAGGAAGCTACTTGTGGATGGGTTGTGCCCCTTGCCTGAGAGTTGTTTGTGCATCTCTACAGGACCTTTAGGGCTGGCATAGACCACCATGTCACCCAGGAGAAGACCTGTTCTCCCAGGGACAGAAGGACCCCTACTGCTGGCAACAGGATGGCTGGGTCCTGCCTGATGAGGGTCCTGAAGGATGCAAGGGGCCTAGGATTGATTCACCCCTGCCCCAGACAGGGCTGGCTCCAGAGCATGATGAAACAAAAAGCTGTACTAGCCTATGACCTTTAGCAAGTCACTTCCCCTTCAAGGGCTCTAACTTCACACTAAAGTAATCCTAACTTCCCCAGAGTTGGTGCAAGTTCCCCCAGGTCAAAATAGAAAGTCCTTGAGCAATTATCCAACAGATCTTCTTAGGTTAGGTGGTTAGACCCTGGATTACACACACCCACCACCATCCACGATAACTTCCTCTTTTCAGTTCCGGAGCAGGCTGGGGGTGGTAAGCCCAGGCCTAGCTTCTCAGCAACCTTCCCTCACCCAGTGCCCTGCTTGTCACCTTGACTGAGGTCGCTGGATTTAGTCTAGTTCTCATACAAAACCCCACCTCAGCTGTAGTAAAGGCACAGCACTGGTCCCCAGCAAATCTTAAAAAGGTTCCATTATGCCTAATTTACATAGAATAAATCTGAGGCTTAGGGACATGAACTACCCAAGACCACAGAGATAACAGGAATTTCAGTCTTTCTGATTTCAGCCTTCTGGGTTGCTCCAGACCCTTAGATTTGGAAGTCCCAAAAAGGGACTGTGGGTGACTCTTTCCTCAAACTGTGAGGTTCCCCTGTCTATCGGAGCCCTTAAGTGAGGCTGTCTGGAAGTAGGGGAGAACCTCAGGACCATCAAGAAAAAGGCCCAGCACCTGGAAGATTGCAGAGTGATTTCCCACGATAAGAAACAGATTGGGTCTTGGAGACTTACCAAGATTAGCTCTAGTGAGATAGCAGCAGGGATTGTGGCCAACCCCAAACTTTTCTCACTAGTTCCAGGGCAGGCTGGAACTAGTGAAAAAACTAAAACTTCCAACCCCAAACATACAATCTCAGGTGACCAATGGTCCTACACACAGATCCACTCTAGTTCATCCCATCCTGAACTGCCCCACCCCTACCCCCAAGGCACACTCCAGCTGCCCAGAAAGCTCCAAAATAATCTGACTTCCCAGCTCCCTTAGAAATCCTGCGACCCCTGCTTCTCCCTCAGGCTGGGGTGTGCTGAGCACAGAGAAGCTTCATGTGTCCCAATCATCTATAGGCGGCAGCAAAGCCCAGATTCAGAGTTTTCTCCTTAGAGATCAAGAGTTTCACTGTTACCCTAGATTCACCAACAAGCGGCTGCTCTGGATACTCCAGCCTTCCTTCACTGGGTTAGAGACTAAATGGTCTAATCTGGTCCTGGGGACCATCTGAGAGGGAGGAAAGCACAAGAGACCTAGCAAAAACAATACTCAGGGGCAAACGTTCTAGGAAACCCAGCTTGTGGGGGTTGAGCCGAGCCTTGAGGGGGTATCAACAAGGATCTCTCCGCCCAAGAGAGTTCTAAGCAGAGCCTGGATTGGAAGGGATGGGAATCCTGGACATTCAGAAGTGGGGCGTGGCAGACAGGTTCAAGTCGAAAGGCCTCCCTCGGAAGCCAGAAGGCGCTGAAGCACTTGGGTCACGGCTTGAACAGCCAAACCCTCTTCCCAGGCCGGGAGCCCAGCCTCCTCAATGGCCATTTTCTAAGATGCCCAAGGGCACACTCACAGGCCGGCACCAGCTCCAGGAAAAGTGCCTTCTGCGTGCGGTCCCGCTGCTGTAGCTGTCGCACAATGTGGCGCTTCCAACCCGAGGTGGGGTCAAAGGATGCTTCGGGCCCTGCCATAGCCCTGTCTCCAGCCAGTGCCCCGGGCGCCGCGCTAGGTAGCAGGCGCAGCGGGGGCGGGGGCGGGGGCGGGGCCTCTTGGGGACTCCGGGACGTCGGGGTCAGGCGGTGGCGGGGAATCCCCGGGCCGTACCAAGGGCTTGATGGGGGCGGAGGAGCTGAGCGCACCCCTCCGGGAAGCTGCCGCATGTCTGCGCCGCTGGGGCCCCACCAGAAAATGTTTGCCTCACAGGGTGCTCCTCTTGCTGTCAGGGGTAATAAATTGGGACCAGAATCGAGGCCCCTGGGTCAGCTACCCCTTTGCCTGTTGGCGCGCTCCGGAGGCGGGGCCTCCAAGGACGAGTGCAGCGTTCCTTGACGCAAACGCGCCCGGACCGAATTCTAAAGTGAAGGATGCTTAGAGAACGAGAGTCTTTTTATTTTCTCCCGTCCCGAGGATGCTTCGGGCTTTAGGGACCCAGGCTGGTGTCACAGATGCCGTAACTCATTGCAGGGGCAGACAAGTGTTCCTGGAAGGAACGCTGCCTCGGACCAAGACTCTCCCTAGCTGGGTTACACCCGGACTCTTGGGTGTACGCAGACACAGGGACCCACAGCGCAGAGGAGGAAGAGACAGAAGGGAAGAAATCCTTCTTTCCGGAGTTGATGGCTTTTGAGTTGGGTTTGTGAGATAACCGATAAGAGTTGGCCAGAGGAGAGAAAAAAGGATTCTCGGCGGGGCGGGGGGGGGGGGGGGGGGGTCAGAGGTTTGACGACATAAAAATTCCCATGGGTTGAGGGCTGCTAGGTCAGGAGTCAGAACTGCCTATGGAGGGGAACAAGGTTTAGGGGCCCAGTTGGTCACAGACAGTTTAGGTCCCTAAGATTAAAGGGATGCAAGCTGGGCGCGGTGGCACAGGACTGTAATCCCAGTGATTCTGGAGGCTGAAGCAGGAGGATTCCAAGTTCAAGGCCAGCCTCAGCAATTTAGCAAGACCCTGTCTCTCTGGGGCTAGGGCTATATTTCAGTTGGTAGAGTGCTTGCCTCACATGCATAAGACCCTGGGTTCAATCCTCTGCACCATTAAAAAAAAAAAAAAAAATCCTGTCTCAAACTTAGTGAGACCCTGACTCAAAAGGATTGGGGATGTAGCTCAGCACCCTGGGTTCAATCTACAGTACCAAAAACAAAATCAAAATAAATTAGTTAATTAAATTAAAAGGGGATGCAGCTGTTTTAATCTCTTGATCCAAAGAACAAGAGGTTTGTTTGCCTGAGGTTTTATGGAGTAAGTGGCTGAGCTGGCCAGTAGCCCAGTATCCTGAATCAGGGTACAAGAGTTAACTTGTTTGGGCAGCCTCTGGAGGAGTAGAGACATCTCTTGTGGGTACACTTGACAGTGTATCATGGATTTCATGGAACTGTGATAAAATTGTCTCTGGCCTATCCAGAGCTCTCAGAACACAGGCTTGGGTGAGGAATCAAAAGAGCGCTTCACTGGGCCAGCCTTACCCTGGGGAATACTGGGGAAAGCCCAGAAGGTCCTCCTCTCAGTGAAACAAAAGAGAAATTAGGCAATGTCAGGTAGCTTTCTGGGCCTTGGAGGTGACAGGTCTGTTGAAATTCTAATGGGGATGGGTCACAGAACTTGGAAAGTAGTAAAGGCTAGTGATAATCCAGGACAGTGCTTTAAAATCACAATAAACTGGGCTCCTTGGGCCCTTGTGGCCTTTGCATATGCTGTGCCTGAACTTTGGAACAACTTCCTCTCAAGTAGTACATCTATTCATATATCACCTCCCCAGGGAAAACTATGCTGTGGTCTATGGAATTCCTCTTGGGATAAGGCCTGAGTCCCAGGTATCTGCATCCCTCCCACCAGCCCAGGTCTGGCCTGAATATTTCACATGACTATTTCTGTTGCAGGTTGGTAGTAACAATCACCAAAAGGCATGCCCAGTCAAAGGACACAGTACCTGTGGAGGCCTAGGTCAGTTAGTGAAAGTGATCAATTCATTTTAGGACTAGCTAACTCTCAGACACTTGGAAAATGCACATTGGAGGGTATATTAGCCCAGCTATGAGGTGCAACAAGCTGTTTTTATTATTATTATTTTTTATAATTTTGGTACCAGGGATTGAACCCAGTGTACTTAACCACTGAGTCACATCCCCTTTTTAATTTTTTTTTTTTTTTTTTTTTTGAGTCAGGGCCTTGCTGAGTTGCTGAGGCTGGCCTCGAACTTGCAATTCTTCTACCTTGGTCTCCCAAATCACTGGGATTATAGACAAGAGCCACCACATCTGGCTAGTTGTGTTATTTCTGAATATTATATAATAAAGAAGTGATTGGCTTCTACTGAAAATATTTTCCATCTTTAGAATATGACAGAATGTATTATAAAGTTCACTTAAAATACAGAGCTGAGGTTGTGGCTCAGTGGTAGAGTGCTTGCCTAGCATGCTCAAGGCCCAGGGTTCAATCCCCACCACTGCAAAAAATAAAATTAAAATAAAAAAATAGGGGCTGGGGTTGTGGCTCAGTGGTAGAGTGCTCATCTAGCACATGCAAGGTGCTGGGTTTGAGCCTCAGCAGCACATAAAAATAAATAAAATAAAGGCATTGTATCCAATTACAACTAAAAAAAATTTAAAAGATAAAAAAATACACCAAATAAAATAGAAAGAAGGAAAGAAAACCTACAGAACAGGAGAAAATATTTGCAAATAAAACGGATAAGGGCTATTATCAGGAATACATAAAGAACTCCTAAAATTCAACACAGCAACACCCAATTAAAAAAAATGAGGAAAAGATCTGAATAGATATTTTTCCAAACAGCATAAGCAGATGGCCAGTGAGCACATGTTGACATCACTAGTCATTTGGGAGATGCAAATAAAATACAACAGGATGCCACCTTACACCTACTAGGATGGATACAATAAGGGAAAAAAGGAAAAAAAGTGTTAGCAAGTATGTAGAGAAAAATGGAACTCTCATGCGTTGCTGGTAGAAATGTATGGTAATATGTTTCTGTGGAAAACAGTTTGGAAGTTTCTCAGAAGGGTGAACATACAAGAATCATATGATCCAGCAATTCCACTCCTAGGTATATATCCACAAGAATCAAAAGCAAGGATTTGAGCCAAGAATGGAATCCCACGCCTGTAATCCCAAGCGATTCAGGAGGCTGAGCCAGGAGGATCACAAGTTTGAGACCAGACTCAACAATTAAGCAAGAGACCCTTTCTCAAATAAAAAGGACTAAGATAAAGAAGAATGAAATTTGCTGGTAAATGGATGGAAATGGAAAACATCATGCTAAATTAAATAGGCCAAACTCAGAAACTGAAAGGTCAAATGTTTTCTCTCATGAAGAAGCTAAAGTAAAATAAAGGAAATGAGGAGGAAAGGATTGGATATCATAAAGATAAAGGGAAGGTCAGCAGTGTATTAGATCAAAAGGCAGAGTGGAGGGATGGGAAAAGGGAGGCAATGCCGAATGAATTTTGTGCACATATAAATATACCACAGGGAACCTCACCTTTATGTATAAGTAAAAAGAACCAATCAAACATAAATAAATAGATGAGCAAAAGGAAGTTTAGCAGAGTAGAGGAAGGGTAACAGGGAAGGGGAAGGAGGATGGGAGAAAAAAAGGGGAGAGAAAAGGATGGGATGGTGAACTGAAATTGAATCCCATGCATGAGTTCATTGGGATGAACCCAATTACTATGTATAACTATAAAGTTCTAATTTAAAAATTAAAAAGAAAACTTTAAAACTATTTTAAAAATAAAAAGGGCTGAGCATGTGGCTTTCTGGTAAAGTGCCCCTGGGTTCCCTCCCCAGTAACCAAAAAAAAAAAAAAAAAAAAAGGTTAATAAACCTTAAATGAAAACAGCATAGTATTGGCACCAAAATAGACTGGTAGACCAATGGTGCAGAATAGAGGACACAGAGATAAACCCACATAAATACGGTTATCTCATACTAGACAAAGGTGCCAAAAACATATTAGAGAAAGGATAACCTCTTCAACAAATGGTACTGGGAAAACTGGAAATCCGTATGCAACAAAATGAAATTAAATCCCTATCTGTCGCCATATACAAAACTCAACTYAAAGTGAATCAAGGACCTAGGAATTAAACCAGAGACCCTACATCTTATAGAGGAAGAAGTAGGCCTAATCTCTATCATGTGGGATTAGGCCCCAACTTCCTTAATAAGACTCCTATAGTGCAAGAAATAAAATCAAGAGTCAATAAATGGGATGGATTCCAACTAGAAAGCTTCTTCTCAGCAGAAGAAACAATCAGTGAGGTGAATAGAGAGCCTACAGAATGGGAACAAATTTTTACCATACACTCACTAGATAAAGCACTAATCTCTAGGTTATATAAAGAACTCAAAAACCTTATCACCAATAATAATAATAATAACAACAACAACAACCCAATCAGTAAATGGGCCAAGGAACTGAACAGATACTTCTCAGAAGATGATATACAGTCAGTCAACAAATATATGAAAAAATGTTCAACATCTCTAGCAATTAGAGAAATGCAAATCAAAACCACTCTAAGATTTTATCTCACTCCAGTCAGAATGGAAGAATACAGACAACAATAAGTGTTGAAGAGGATGTGGGGAAAAAAGCACACTCATATATTGCTGGTGGGACTGCTAATTGGTGCAACCATCTGGAAAGCAGTATGGAGATTCCTTGGAAAACTTTGAATGGAACCACCATTTGACCTAGCAGCACAATTCACAATAGCTAAACTGTGGAACCAACCTAGATGCCCTTCAGTAGATGAATGGATAAAGAAACTGTGGTGTGTATATACACAATGGAATATTATTCATCATTAAAAGAGAATAAAATCATGGCATTTGCGGTAAATGGATGGAGTTGGAGAATATTATGCTAATTGAGGTTAGCCAATCCCAAAGAACCAAAGGCCAAATGTTTTCTCTGATATGTGGATGCTGATTCATAATGGGGGTGGGGTGGGGGATCAAGGGAGGAATGGAGGAACTTTAGATAGGGCAAACAGGAATTT